CGTTGTTTGAAAGAAAACAACAACAACAACAACAACAACAATATATTACACACACAACTGCAATGTTATTCTATTTTTAAGGTAGCGTCAACAATATTGCTCATATTTCAGTCAATTTCAATCTAACACAACAATTTTCGAAAGCCATTAACATTACAATGGCACAGAAAAGAATGGAACCAAAAACAAAAAAGAAACATTTGTTGCAAAGCAAAACACTCTTTAAAGCCCACGGAAACAGACTCTTTAATGCATTTCCTACAGCAAAGACTACGCACATTTGCCTAAAGATAGCTGAGTATATTTATGCTCGTATTCATCTACACGAAACCGTTATTAAACATGAGTCACAAAAAACTGAAGTACAATATACGACTCTTGTAAGTATCTGCACCGGCCAAATGAACACAGCTGCATTGTCTATTTAGAAGTGGGTCTCACAAAGCGAAGCTGCTTGGCTGCTGAGTTGGGCCGCACCTAGGCGAGCTGAATGTGAACCAACGCGATGCTAAAGGTTTGCACAAATAAATATTTTTTATTCATGCCTAACGACCAAAACTTACTGGACCACTTAAGTGCAGCGTTGCTTAGAACAATGGCGATGGGAAAACAACAACAACAATCAACTACCACAATTATGATGACACTAAGAAAATAAACAACAAGTAGTCAGTAAACAATGGCGACAGCGACGTTGCACAAGCGCTTAAAACAGCAAGAAATAACAACAAACAAAGCACACGATCACGCTGTAAACGCACAAAAAAATTTCAGTTGCATGCAACATTCATTCTGCCACAAAGACGACTTGGCTCGTCTTAAGAGTAGTTGTTTGGCTTGAGTGTTACAAAGTGCGTGTTTATGTGTTTCTTCACGGCAATACAGAGCATCTTGCCTAAACGACAAAATGACACTGAAGTCAAAATGACGGCGAAGACCCGTTCATACCACGTAACTGACATGATGACTAAGTACTCTTCTCGAGTTCTTGAGACTCTTCTGTCACAATACTTTCGTTACTTTAAGACTTCTAAAACTAATTGAAATACAGTTTTACATTTAACTTAAGAGTAGAACTTTGAAAATTTGTAGRAAATATTTCAATGATGTTCTCGAATCGATTGGTTAATATTGAGAAAAAAAACCTAAAGAAAAATGGGGCTGCTAAAAATCAAAACAAAAAACGGTTTGATAAAAGAAAAAAAATGATATTTGAATGTTAAATAAATGTAATAAAATGTACCTCCCTATCCTATGGGGCAACGGAAACTGAAAATTTATCATTGATAATATTATTTAAAAGAAACTTCTTCTTCTTAATTGGCGTAAACACCGCTTACGCGATTATAGCCGAGTTAACAACAGCGCGCCAATCGTTTCTTCTTTTCGCAATTTGACGCCATGGGGTCACGTGTAGAAGTTGACGCAAGTGAGGAAAG